GTGCGCGCGCCGCCGGGGGCCGCCTCAGCCAGCAATGCGCAAGCGCCGGCTGAAGCTCCGCCCCCTTCCTCGCCTCACCGAGGCTCTGCCTCCGGGCGCCTTGCGCATGCGCCGTGGCGGCGGCGGGTTGGCCTTCAGAATGTTCTCGGTGGTTATCATAGAGAAGGCGGTCTTCCCGCCTGCCTAGAGAGGCGAGCAAGCGGGCGGTGGTGGCGGCCATTTTGACGTGACGCTCAGGCCGCCGCGGGGAAGCAGGAGCAGGCTGGGGTTGATTCATGTGGGGAGTGCTGGGGAGGGGCTTCGTGGCGGCAGCCTCGGCCCGGCGGATCGTTTTCCGCGCCGTGCCCGCGGGTCTGGCCTGCTGAAGGGTTCCCTGAAGGGACGGGGTGGCTTGGCCCGTGGGTGCTAGTTGTGTGGTGAACCTTGGCCTGGGGCCTCCTTGCACCTCATGGGCTGTGGGGCTGCAGCGGGAGAGCGTGCACCGCACTAACCGGGGTACTGGCCCCCTCCTTTGCTGTTTTCAAGGGGTGTATTGATTGTCCCAGTTGTCCCATAGATAAAGCAGGCTTACCGTTGCATCCTCTGGCACACCAGCTTATTGCATAGCTTGGAGTTCCTAATAACTTTTTTCTCTCTGTCATCTTTTCAGCTGCAGGAGTCTTCACCATAGCTCACGTTACCATGGCCACCCACTTCTCCAAGGATCAGGAGGAGAGAGTGCGTAGAAAATGGGTTGTGTGGGCTACTGCTGTGATGCATGTCTCTTTACAGAGGCCTTCCTGTTACTAGAGACCTAACAACATGGCAGCTGGTTGTACCATGTAGCTTTTTGGAACAAAGCTGCTGATTTTCTTGTGGTTTTTATGCATGTGTCAGTGATGCAGGTATTGTAAACAGCACAGAGTTTACCTGCATAATTAAATGTTGGGATATTCAAGATTGACACGCTGATAGTACGCTGAAGGTGTGAACTAATTCAGGTGTAGTGTTTGTTACATAATTCTCCTTTTCAAGCATTGATTTTGTAAAATTAACTGCTGAGCTGGCACGTGATACTCTTGTAGAGAAGATAAGCTATATGTATATTGGGCTTGTAACTCATGCCAACTCATTTATTTGTGAAATGCATCTTAAACTCAATACCTTACACTCTTTGCTGTACAGGTGTGCCAGATTCTCTGTTATCTGAGTATTCTGTTACCTGAGTCTGCATTCTTAACATACTTTTATTTAACTTTGTGTTGTTTTCAGATCAAGTGTGTTAAGGGGGACCTTTTCTCGTGCCCCCAGACGGACGCATTGGCTCATTGCATCAGCGAGGACTGTCGCATGGGTGCAGGCATAGCTGTTCTTTTTAAGAAAAAGTTTGGAGGCGTACAAGAGCTGTTGGATCAACGTGAGTGATACACGTGGGGTGGACATGCAGGAGCTGAAGGGAAAACCTTGATTTCCAGCAGTAAGGGTATTCCAAGCTACTTGGGGTGCGGGGGGGAATTATCTAGTGAATGTAACTTTTTAAAATACCTTCTTAATTTCTTTATTTTAGAAAAGAAGACTGGGGAGGTTGCAGTCCTCCAAAGAGAGGACCGATACATTTACTACCTGGTAAGAGCAGAACATTACTTGGGTACTTCCCTGTAACTCAACTATATTAGATATGATGAGGAGGACTTTAACAGTTGTGGGATTTTTTGAGTATGTTCTAAATAACAGGTGTGCGATGTATTACACATTGCTAGTTGAGGAGAAGCAAAGCTGTCTTGTGTATGCATATTTAAACTTTTAATGGACAGAATTAGCTGCTAAATTACAATATTTTAAGATGTGAATTATAGTTATTTTTTCAGGTTTCTTTCTCCTTACAGTAGGAAGTCTGGATGTGGAGTTTCAGAGCGTAGTGGAGTGTGGTTTTTTAAAAAAGAAAATAGTTTGCAGTGATCATGCCAAAGGCACAATTGACCTTTTACATTTATACTTAGATTACAAAGAAGAAAGTTTCTCACAAACCAACGTACGAGAACATGCGAAAGAGTTTAGAAGCCATGAAAGCTCACTGTCTAAACAATGGAGTTACTGACATTTCCATGCCTAGGTAAGAGAATCAGTTACTGCAGTGTAAATGCTTCACTGTTTTTAAGTAGAAGGGTGTTTGAGAGATGATCCCCTGCTGTGAAATAAGAGTTCAAGTATCCACTTTGTTCTTCTATTGTGCAAATGAATTTGCATTTCCCAGTGTCTAAATGGTAGCAAAATACAGGCTTCGTTGTTTCTTTATTTTAACTGCATTATGTTGATTTATGGTGAGCTGAGTTAGTGCCCCATAAAACTGTAGCTGGGTTAGTTGTTCATCGCCTGCTCCAGAAGAGGCCATTACAGCTGTTTTGATGTCTCGTTTTCCAGGATTGGATGTGGACTTGACCGCCTGGATTGGAATAAAGTTTCAGCAATACTTGGGGAAGTGTTTGAAGACACAGATATAAAGATCACAGTTTACACTCTGTGAGCAAAAGAGTTTAAAGAGAGCCCCATTTCCCTTACTTTCAGGAGTAGAAAACTGTTAACTGATGAGGGGGGAAACTGCATGCCAAGCACATTCTTTGTTTGAGCATAGCTAGCTCACTCTTGTGTTGGCAACAACAACAGAAAAGCTCCAGTGCAGATAATTTGGGATATAGTGCTCAGAGAGCCTGTGAAGAAGGCAGGAGTGTTGTAACCCTCGGGGAGATCCCAGTTTGTCCCAGCATGCCACCAGATGTCACTGGTCCTCCACGGAGCACCTGCCTGCGCTAGAGCTTCTACATAAAGCTTCCAGTTCCTCTGCAGAGTGCAACTGGAGCCGTCTGTTGCTTAGGGATTTGTTGGTTTGTAGTTACGATTGATAATGATGAGCTGTGGAGCTCTGTAACTTAAAAAAAAAAAGTTCTGCGATGTTCATATCAGGCATACAGTTTACTCACTCTGTTTGTTACAGGATTAAAAATTTAATTTCTACCTTCTGGCCACAAATAGTTTTTTGTTATGAGATTGTACTTGCTAGGAATCATGCTGTCAACATTAAATAAATAGCTGTTCAGTACTATGCTGGCAGGTGAGAGCACGGTCCTTTGAAAAACACTTATGTCTGTGTTGTGGCTGTATTCTAGAGGACAGCTGAGTGTCGAGGGGGGAATGCTGGAGATGTGTAAAGACACCATGTGGGCGCATTTTTATGCTGTATAATTGGTGTAGTTTGCAAAACTCTGTTTTCTGAGAATCCGCATGTGAATGGCTTGTGCTGTAAAAAGTCCTAGTATGGAATTTAAGGTTCTTTTCCTACTGCGTTTGTAGTTTAGCTTTTACGTGTAGGTTGGTGTTTGTCACCAACAGCAAAAGCAAATTGGTAACACAGTTCATCATGTCATTGGTCAACACTTGATTTTTGGAAGCTTAATTCCAGTGCTGAGGAACTATCACACAGTCTGCATTTCCTTTAAGTTTGGTTTTTCCCACCCTCCTTTAATAACAGATCTTTTTGACTTCTCTCATAGTGAGTGCCCAAAAAGATGCCACGTATGTTGAATAAACTTAAAAGATGGGACATAACAGTTGAAAAGTTTGTAGCGTAACATAGGGTTTCTAATTGGTTTTTTGCTATGAATTGAATGGGTGGAGCGTTTTCTCAGCATTGTGGGTTAATCTGTATTGTGTGGTTTCTTTGCTGATCCTGTTTGTGTCTTCAAGAACTTCATATCATTACTCTCCCTGTTTGTTGACTATTCTTTGTAAACTTGTTTTTGGTGAATTATTACTGTAGCTAAATACACAACTGGGAAAAAAAAATAAACTGAGTAAGACATACAGGAATGTGGAGTATTGAGCTGGTCAAGAGTGGACATCAGGACTGTTCAGTGATTTAGTCTTTATTTATGTTTGGTTTTTAAATCGAGTGGTAAAGAGATGAAATCCAGAGTGGCTCCACAAAGGTTTTTCTTAATTGCTGCTTGTTTTTTCTGCCTTGAAAATTTATGCCAGGATTTAGTGCAGCTGACTGAGGTAAGGGATGGGTGTGGTCAGCAGTTGTATGTGTGTGTGTGTCTGACACTATTCAGCCTGTGACAGTGCAGGAGAAACCAATGTGAACGACTGACTGGAAGAGTGAACCCTGTCTGGCTCCTTTTCTTAACTGATGACTGTCCCTGTGACCCTTGTTTGTTTTATAGAGAGAGTGATATGCCCATATTTCCTCTCTCTGTCTCCTACACTTGTATGTACTCTTGAAATTTTTTTGGCATATAGTAATTCTTTCTCATGCTGCACTTCAGCTATGAAATATTTCATACATGGCTGTCCCAGGATGTCTCACTTGTCAGATTAAATTTAGGACCTCTTGCAAATAGAGAAGGAGGAATAAACAGTACTATAGCTTTTTGAAGTGACTTCCAATTTTATTTTGCTTTTTTTCCCAGTTTTATGTCACAAACATCATTGAACAAGGGGAAAAGGTATTTGATGTATTTGAAATCAAGTTCCTAGGACTCCATTGTAACTTAGAATAGACCAGTTAGCCCTAATTTAAATCACAGCTCTGATTATTGAGGAGGAAAGGGGAGGAAATCCTATTTTTTTTCACCTTAAATCACTTTCTCTTCCACATTTATGAAGTATGTACTTTCTAAATGCATTTATCTAATTGGCAGCTTTGTTCTAAGATCTTGCTAAGTAGTCCTAGTATATGAGGCCTGCAGTCTTTTCCTGTAGGTCCACTGCAATCCATTTAATTACAGACTTTAATCATACAGTTGCCGTCTTTTTTTTTTTTTTTTTTTTTTTTTTTTTTTTTTTTTTTTTCCTATCAGCAGAGCCAGCATGGGTTTGTTTGGGGCAGGGGTGCAGGGAGGAACAAAAGAAACCAAAAAAAATTCCCAAACACCAAAGATTTGTGTTGTATATGTATTTGTAGTCCATCAGGGCCTAGTCTTCCAGAAGTTGGTACTCCATCCTGCTGGAATCAAAGCTTTGGAAAGCAGGAGTGTCCCAGATAGCCAAGTCTTGCATCTCTCTTCATAGATATTTTCTGAATTGTTTATGGGGAAGGAAAAAAAGAGACATGTTAGAAGCTTCAGGTGCTTTCATGTTTTATGGCTTAAATAGATGGCTCTTTATTACCCCTTAAAAAAAAGAAGGGAATGCTGCAGTGATAACTCTGATTTTCCTTTAGTGTTTTTTTTTCTAGAGGGCTAGACTTTGGGGAGTGGGGGCACTCCCTTTCTCTCTAGATTCCTCCCACTGTTTCCACAAGTGTCCTGAATATCATGGATCTGGGAAACAGTTGCATCTAGTACCTTTTTATTTTTTATTCCTGAAGGGTTTTACTCTGAGGAGAAAAAGAACAAGCTCTAAATCCCTTACATTTCTGTTGTGGAAGAGCCCACTGTAGTGTTACGAGCCCACTTGAAGGGGTAAGGTACTGCCTAGAATTATTTTTGGTATTCAAGTCCAGGCAAACCCAGCCAGTTACTGTGAGAGTAACAGTAACTGAAATTGGCTCTGGTCTGAAATAGCTCTGGGCTACACCTTTAACAACCTGAAGTAAGGAGTCAGTAATGCTAATACAGGGGGATAAGTGACCAAGTGGAAATCCTCACTCACGTGAGCTTCAGTGCAAAATCTCAGCCAGCTTTTCCTCGTAATACTGGAAGTTCTCTTGAATGTCCTCCCATGGCACGAAAGCCTTTGCTTCCTCTCCTTCCTCCTGTTCCACAAAGTTCTGCCAGACATACTCAAAGTCTTGAGGCTTCATAATCCTCAGCTTGCAGCCAGCTGACTTCATTTTTTTCAGGGCAGCCTGCATTTCTGCCTCTTCCCACATGAAGAGGCGCCCTACCATGATTGTCAGACGCAGGTTCTTGTTCTTCTTTAGGGTCTCACTTATCCGATCGGCACAGGTCACGCAGGGACTGGAGGAGACGTACCAGGTGATGTTGTAGCGGAGGCTCGAGTCGCACTTTGGTAAAATTGTGTTGAAGAAAGCCATTTCTGCGTGGGCGGCCGCGTGCTCGTCTTCCAGGTAACCCCGAGAAGTCACTGACTCCTTGCCTTGGGTCTCCAGAACGTAACACAGGAAGGTTTTGTTCCTGCCTGAGCTGTATTCCACATTTCTGAACTGGAATTTGAAAAACATGGCTGGGAGGCGCTCTCTATAGAGAGTGGAGAGGAGAGAAGCATCTCAGAGGCAGATAATAAAGGGTTATAGCATTGGTTTAGTTCCTGTGTGTGATCTTGGACAAGTCGCTGCATCTATGATGGCTGTATTTCTCCGTGTATTAAAAGGAGATGCCTTTTAATAGGAGGATAAAAATACATTAAAAATTATAAGATATTCAGCTATTATTGCTGTGTGGTGAGGCTTCCAGGCCCATTATCACCACCTAGTCTTTTTCACTTAATTTTAACAAACTTGCACTGGGAATTTCTAGTATCTGCATTGATGTATTTGAAGAGGAACTTGCCTGTAAAATGTATTTCTTGAGGCTATGATATTTACTGTTGGTAAGGAGGGACAGCAGTTGGCATTTTCCCGGTCTTAATGCATCTGTAGCCTGAACTGTTCTGTTTTCTAAGCCGTTAACATAGTTCTTTCAGGGTGGTGTTGCAGTGTTAATCTACGGGATCTGTTGTCCTAAATTGTTAGGATGATAACTCTGGCATTGCTAATTAATGTTTTACCCCCAGTGCTTTTGCAGTCTGGATCTCCTCTGAGTAGAGGCAAGCGTGACTGATTAGTTGCAGTTTGTGCATGTTCTAGTTTTACTTTTCCAGTATCAGCTGAATACTAATATTCAGTAGGATTATGTTGTGACTTTGGTTTAATAAAATAGATGAGATAAAAATCTAACTTTGCTATGAAAAAGTGTATTTCCTACTGAAGGTTGATAGCTGTCTCATGGATACTGCTGATAAACTTGAGATACTTTTTTTAGTTTGTTGTGCATTCTGGGCTTCTCAATAAGCATAGTCCAAAGTGAATCATCGCAGTGAGTAATGTGTTTGTAATCCTCTTGCACCCAGACAAGGTAGCCTGCTGTTATTTAGGGAAGTTAAAATGAGTCCCTTAAAGTACTGTGTATAGCTTTTATGCGTTGCTGACTGAAGAGGTGAAAAAGGAAAAAGCTGCATTGTCTTGTAGTACCCGTTCCTTTCTTACAGAGTACCAGGCTTTCCTGCTTGCCCCTGTAGCATCTAGCTGTGGAGCACATCAGTACAAGAGGTAGTATTTGAAGGATGTTAGGTGGAAAGATGAAAAAGATCCTGCTGACAACATGCATTGTGATCTCTTAAATGCCACAAAGGATGGGAGTGAAGACTCCACAGAGTAGCCAAACCGAAATAATGAAAAGTAGTAACACAACATTTCATTTATCACACACTAGTAATCTTCTGGCATGTTGTACTCCTCTCATCCGAGCTTTAGGTGGACCTATAACCTTGATATTCCCAGTGAGGCAATAATGAATCTTTGTAAAACAGTAAGTGTCTTATTCATCCTGGTCTCATCTATAGTCAGATTATAATGTCAAGCCTCTCCAGGGGGTACACTGAGCAAAGGTCAGGAGAAATTCTCAGACTCTTGGAAATTTTAATTGGGGAGAGCAATGAGGCTGCAGGAGTAAGTGGCAAAGCGCCGTTCTCCTGAGAGGAAAGAACAATTTGTGATGCAACATCTCACAAGATGTCTCCGGAGACGGTGGAAGTGAATGGTATGGAAAAGAGTGAAAAGAATCAAAATCGGTATGTTACGTTCGCTTGGGAATGTGGGAGTGACAAGTGAATGTGCTGTTGGTTTGCTACTGGGAAAGACTGGTGGGGGACAGTGAAATATGGGATGGCTGCAGGTCAGGAGTAAGGCCTGATCATGAAGAGCTGGATCTGATGCCGTTTAAATTTAGTAGATGTCTTCCTACAGAGTGCAAAGGACGAGGCTTTGCTAGGACTGCATGAAAAGCCCCAAATAGCTTGATATTCTGTGCAAATCAGAGGGATTGGAATGGAAATGTCTGAGCAGAAGGAGCAGGGAAGAGGCACTTGGGAGTTCTGTGTGTCATACCTGGCTGCAAGCACTACATTACATACGTGAGCAAATGGGGGTTTGTGTGGAAAGGAATGGGAACTAGTGTGCTGTCTGAGTACATAACTCGGAGTAAATTATAGCTGTTGTCAAGCTTCCTTAGCTGTGTTATTTTGAAAGTTTAAATACAATTTTCCATAAATGTTTAATTCCACTTACAAAGTTTCAGAAATTTCTCTTCAGTATGTGTGTATTCCATACTTGTCCTAACACAGCCAGGATTTTTTTTCTGCTGCCGAAGCCCTGTGGCATTTTTGGCTTTTGAGAAAGTTAAAACATAAAAGAACACCCTCTCTATTTAATTTTTTATGATACTACAGTAGTATCTAGGGTCCATTTGGGCCTGCTACACAGATTCACAGTAAAAGGCCTGGAGTTAGTTCCCACTTCTGTTTTGGATTTCCCAATGCTTGATTTTACAGATGAACAACTTCACTTGGAGTATCAGTGTAGTATCCCAGCCAAATGGTGTGAGAGTTGATGCAGTTAGGTTGGCACAGTTGTGCTTTGTACCGAGGGAGAGGAAGATCATTAGTCTTCCAAATGCAACGAGATGTACAAGGCAAAATAATCTTGTTCACAGAATTGCATCTACACTGGGAATATCTACTGTTGCTGTCAATCAGGGACCACCGTAATTCTTTTCTGTATCATTGATTCGTGACAGTGGAAGTTTAGAGAACAAGTTTGGCTTTAGAAATTTTACTAGAAGCAGGTTTTCAGCTGCTTCCTAAACTATAATTAAACCCTTACATTGTTCAGTTCTACTTCGATGAGATCTGTACAAGATGGGACTTAAACAATAGAAAAGCCTGTTTGGGAGCCTTCCATGCTATTACTGGTTTAGCTGGCAGCGTATTAATGAGGGATGAGAAGCAGTAGAGTGGATACAGACTTTTATTTTGATTAATGAGCATATAAATAGTGCTGTTTGGGTATGATTTGGTTTATGGTTCTCTGCACAAGCCTAGATAAGGGAAACTTGCACTGGCTTGCACCCAGAAAGACTTCTTTAAATTCTTTTTCTTAGCATTTTGACCTCTGTTCCCTTATGTTAGATGACTTATACCTGTTAGAGTCTCATTTTCTTTAAGATGAATTACAAGACTTCCACTGATTTTTATTAGAGAGCATTATCAGACTCTAATTTAAACACAGTACCTCTTACTCCCTGAACTCCTTTCTCTTTGAGACAAAAACATTTACGTGCTTCTGAGAACAGTGCTTTTCCTGCTTTATATCCTAGATAATGAGTGGTTCTTTGGTTAAGGATTCTTTAATTAATGATTCCTTTGAAGTCCAGCTATGTTGGGTCTGACATAAGCCACCCATTGCCTTGTTTCAGAGCTAAGTTTGTAAGGCTACAAAAAGTTGTTTTAAAATAACATCATGTATTTAAATTAGCACATCTGAGTCACATGGAAGTTCATTCCTGATTTAACTCTCTTGACAGCAAAGCGGTTACATCAGTGATGAGATTGAAT